GGGGGTACAGATGTTTAGGTTATGTATGTTGCCCTTGCCTCCCCACTCCCCACCAAGTCCGAGTTTCAAGTGTGCCCATCCCTTGGATGGTGTGCATTGCACTCTAAAACCAAAGAATTATTAACTAACTGTTTAAACAACTGGCATCAAAATTACTTTATTCACCATATCCTGCATGGAGATTTAGATAATTTATTCACGTCTTTTTTCTGTCATTTTTATTTTATGTTATTTTAATCTTTACTTGGGTTCACCAATTGTTGACATTTTGCCATGTTTGCTTTATCTGATGGATGGATGGAGGGATGGATGGATAGAATAGAGATATATTCATATACACACAGAAACATACACTTTTATGAACTATTTTAAAGTAAATTACAAACATCATGATACTTCCCATATACTTCAATATACATGTTCTCTGAAGGACAAAGATATTCTTCCTACCAAGAAATTTAATATTGATACAATATTGTTATCTGATACACATTTCCATATTCAAAGTTCCCCAGTTGTCTGAAAAAAAAATGTCCTCTATGGCTATTTTATTTGTCTGATCTAGGATCCAACCCAGAATTATCCACCACCACCCCAACACATGCACACTATTTTTTCTTTTGGCTACTTCCCCATCCTATTGTCCTTTGGGTTTCTTTTCCCCTACAGCACATAGTTGTGTTGATTTGAGCTCATCCTCTCAGTCTGGGAAGTTAGCTGATATATTCCTTCCTGCTAAGATGTTCATCATTAATTTTTATAAATGATAAATCATTTAAAACATTTAAAACATTTAAATCATTTAAAATCAGCATCTGGAAAGAACAATAATGAACTTCCAATAGAATTTCAGACACTTTAACACTTGGGCGAGAGAAATATTTTGGGAGAATCTTCTCAGTGTCTCTCTTAGCTCAGGCAATTGACTGCTCTACCACCGCTGAAAGCAAGTGCAAGTCTTTGATTTCAGAAGAATTAAAAGAAAAAACTGCAACCCACCCTTTCCCATATCCCTTCATTGGGCATCATCTACCTCATAGAGTAAGTGTGAGGGTTATATAAGATAATCATCCATGTAAAGATCTTAAAACAGTGCCTCTAACATAGTACATGCTAAATACATGTTAGGTTGCATTATCATTATTGCCACTATTCTGATCATCTTATTTGTTTAAATTGTCTCCAAAAATTTAACATTCTCAAAAGTACGTAAATGAAATTTACATGCAAAACATAACTTTCCCTTCTAAAAATTAGGAATTATTCTAAGAACCTTTGTAATCCCACCTTCCTCTCCTCTTACTTCTCACTATATAATGAATCTTCCATTCCAGCAAGTATGTTTACTATATTGCCCATCAAGTTTGCAATACTCTATTCTTCCTTCATGTTTTTTCAAGATTTGCTTATGTTCATGCCTAATTCCTAAGTGCACATTAATGTTTTAGGTTTTGTTTGCTCTACTTTCCAAATCCAACCCATTTGAGCACCAACTTAATGTCACTTATTCCATGAAGTCTTCCATATCCAATCCAATTTACAATGCTCTCACCCTCCTCTGCACTTAATACTGTAGTATCTCAGCTTTTGTACTTACAGTCCACAGACATTTTTGTTAATTGTCTTTCTAAGTGAGTAATCTTCTTTGGAACTACTGTTGACCCTTGAACAGTGTGGAGGTTAGGGGTGCCAACTCCCCACGTAGTTGAAAATTCGTGTATAAGTTTTGACTCCCCAAAAGCTTAAATAATAATAACCTACTGTTGACTAGAAGTCTTACCAATAACATAAACAGCCAATTAACAAACATCTTTTATGTTATATATATTATATACTGTATTCTTACAATAAAGTAAGCTAGAGAAGAGAAAATATTAAGAAAATCATAAGAGAAAATATATTTACTATTTATTAAATGGAAGTAGATCATCATAAAGGTCTTTATCCTCATCGTATTCATGTTGATAGGCTGAGGAGGAGGAGGAGGTGGAGGGGTTGGTCTTGCTCTCTCAGGGGTGGCAGAGGGGGAGAAGGTAGAAGGGGAGGCAGGAGAGGCAGGCACATTCAGTGTAATGTTTATTGAAAATAAAAAAGTGAACCCCTGTGCATATCAGTAAACCTGTGCAGTTCAAACCTGTGTTGTTCAAGGGTCTACTGTATATTCTTGAGGCCTAAATTGATTTTTACTTATCTATCTGCTTCATAGAAACTAGTGCATACTAAATACTTAGAAATTATTTGACTTTTTATGACTTTTTTATACTTGGTCTTTGGATAAATAAATTATCTACCTTTTTCAGACTGCAATACAAATGCAGTGACTTATCTGAACCTGAAACTTTTTTTCTAATATATCAAAGCATGGTTTTTATACTCTACAAAAAAATGCCACTGTTTCTGGAGTTCTTCCAAAGCCCTTTAATGAGTGTTAGTATTTAATAAATTAGTACTCTTTAATGGCAAGTGAACACTATTGAAATATAATTAGAAAGAAGAAAGGAAGCTTATATTTACTGGGTTCCTACTATTAAAAAGTACAGTGCCAAATGGTTTCCCACTTATTCTCTCTTATTTAATCATCTTGAACTAGAAACATCAAGTAATTTTCCCAAGGTTTCAGAGTTGTTCATTGGAGAACCAGGATTTACACTTTCCCCTATAAAATCTGTTTTACCTTTTATTATCCTTTTTCAATTAATGGCATCATCATCTGCCAAATTTCCAAGACAGAAATATTTGTCTATCCAGGCTTCTCATTCTCCCATATTCCTACTCAATAAATCTTCCTAAGTATACTTACTAAATACATCTCAAATCCATCTACTTCTCTCAATTCCTACTGATA